TCCATGTATTAAGCATACAAATTTTAAATGGTAGAGTAATGCAAATAATTGATAAGTAAGTAGGTGTCAGTCTACTTGGGATTTATTTATTCTATTGGATGTAATTCATCCCCTAATCAAAAATAAAATTATTAATTATTTTTTTTTATCCATTTTGACTCTACTTTTAATTCAAAAATATATTTACACAAATATTAAGTTATAAAAAATATTCATTATTTTTAAATGAAGTTGTATATAAAAAAGCCAACGAGCAGGCCGTCCACCAAGCTCGCCCAAAAAGCCTGCCCAATAGCCCACCCTTACCTGATGCCCTGTCAAGCCCGCCCAATAACTCATTTGGGTAAAGGTTCGGACCTATACAACCTAAGCTTGATCAGGAAAAAAATTTTGCCGGCATAGTTCGGCTCAGCCCATAAACACCCCTGGGTAGTAATATATGAAGGGCAAACTATTTTTTATCTACATGTGGAATCGGTCAAAACCAACTTATCTCTTTCACCTTTTAAATTATTAGTTGAACGCACACGTACGTTACATGTGAACTATTTTAAGTGAAATATCGTAAAATAAAGTCATAGACTNGAACACCCCTGGGTAGTAATATATGAAGGGCAAACTATTTTTTATCTACATGTGGTTTCGGTCAAAACCTACTTATCTCTTTCACCATTTAAATTATTAGTTGAACGCACACGTACGTTACATGTGAACTATTTTAAGTGAAATATCGTAAAATAAAGTCATAGACTACTATATTTAAAATTCATATTTTTACTAAATTATTTTATTTAAAATTCATATTTTCAATAATTGCTCTCTCTGAAATTCATGTTTTTAGTGAATATTGATGATCAATCAAATCGATAATCACTTTTGATAAGCAAATCCCAAAACAAAAGGAAAAAAATACGTACTAAATATGATAGTTGGTCATTTCATGAGTAAATTTGGAAAGGACTTTTTTTCCTAGACACAAACATTACCACAAAAGAATGCAAAGAAAATAAAAAAGAGAAAATTTTCATTCTTGCTTTAGATGGGATACGANTATGAGTAAATTTGGAAAGGACTTTTTTTCCTAGACACAAACATTACCACAAATGAATGCAAAGAAAATAAAAAAGAGAAAATTTTCATTCTTGCTTTAGATGGGATACGATGGTATTAAGATATTGTACTATCATGATCAAATCACCTTTTTACCTGAACGATCCCAATGAGAATTGCAAAGAAAATNGATGGTATTAAGATATTGTACTATCATGATCAAATCACCTTTTTACCTGAACGATCCCAATGAGAATTGCAAAGAAAATTGAAACAATATGTTTAATTATGACAAGATTTTAGAAGAGGCACATAAATGGTGCTTTAAGAAGTAGTATATAAATATAGATATCGATATAGATAGCTATAGATTGTATTGCCTTTATTTAAATTTTTAATTATGAAAAAGGAATGCAAAAGTTTTTGAAGATTTTGATTGACATTTAAAAGTAATATTGATATAAATAAAAATATAAAATAGTAGTTCAAGAGTCACAATCCCAAATAATGTTAGCATTAATGTTTTATTCTAACTCTAAAAAAGTAGTATGTATATTAACTATATTATTAGGATTAATATAGTCACACAAAATTTTTCACTTTCACTTATTTATACTACTAATAAAAGCACACTATCAAGAAAGACTTTTATTTGACTATTTTTTCCCTACAAGAAAACATAATCACAATATTAACCATATTTATTGTAAAACTCTTTTAATAGAACTTGATTAACATTAAATTTTGTTGGACTATTTTATTCTTAAAATAAAGCATCAATACAATATTAATCTTATTAGTACGAAATTCATTAGTATTATACATATCCAAGCTTTTCATCTAACTTTTAAAAGGTAAGTTTAACTGTTAAAAGGAATTAGACTTATTTTTATTAGTTGATAATTAAACTATGAATAAAGACACGTTTGAGCATTATTTATTATATAATTTATTTTAATGCATCGTCAATAATAATATCAAACCCTAATATTTCATCTTCTTCTATTTTACAATTTTAGTATCAATGCATCCTCTTATTCGTAATACTAGATTAGGGTTGTTTTTACTTTTTTATTTTTGTTGGATGATGACTTATACTAAGAATGTTCATGATTAAATTAATCTGGTTATCTCAACTAACTTAATTACTTATTTCATTTCTACAACCTAACTTTCTTTTGATTGTGTATGATTGCATGGGCACCAGAATTTAAATCCATTTTCTTTATATATTTTTTTACAATTCAATAAGTGTTCGTATTTTTGTTTAGTTGTTATATATATATATTAGCATATCAGCATATCATAATATGTATTTGTGTCATTTCAATGATATTGTAAATATAATTTATCTAAATTATTAGTTTCTTGTCAAAATTTCTAAATCTTATGAGATAGTTTTATAAGAAAATAATTACTCAAAATTGTAGGAGTTAATAGAAAAAAAATAAAAATTAATATTATTTCCAACAGTATAAATCGTTCGATTTGTAGCAAGTTTACTAGATTGCTCAATTCATAAGTATTTATAGGTTGTTATATTCACATAATTATTTTAAATAATTTAAAAATAAAATTAAAACAAAAATTATAATTTAATGGAGAACTCTATTCACTTAGAGAGAGAGAGAGAGATGGTAAGCTTTGTAAAGGTGGTTTTTGATCTCTGTCTATGCATATTTTATGAATATGGGTCATTGATGTACGGATTTTATGAAGGTTATCATTGATATATGTTGGTATCAGCATGCGTTTGCATGGGTGTTGCCGAAAAGGTTGGATCTTTGTGGTTCTTTTCAGATATTTTAATTAATAGGGCCCTTTTTAATATGAATATTTCCAAGCACATTTTTGTATTGTTATGCATATCTTGGTAATTTAATTTCAATACACTTCTTGTAAAGGTTTTGTGGGTCCTTGTGGTGTGGTAGTGGGTGGTGTACTGGTTCCCATTTGGATGATTTATGTTTTGTACATGTGGTACACACTTTCCAAGTTTAGCCTAGATAATGGTCTGATTGCTATTTTTTAAAAGGGTTATGTGAATAATTTTAAAGGTCAAGGAAGTATGCTGATTTTGACCAAAATCAAAGGTAGGTAGAAGGTAATTTGCCCATATATGCATTTACCCCTACTAGCGACAAGGTGAAGCCAAAGAAACTAACTCTTATTTTATTTTATTTTTTTGCTACTAACTAATTACTAAACAAATAATAAATCTACAAAACAACCACCTAAGCTGAATAGAAGTATATATTAACCACCCACCATACTACATAATTGAGATGTTAAAGTAGGGCCCAAAGATTTTAATGGCATGCTCAATACTCACGTAGTTTTAATAAATTTTTGGTCTAATGGTATTCCTTAACTTGTAAAAATTTTGTCTTCTTGAGATCAAGGGTTCAAGCCCCCTCCCCCTCCCAAAAAAAAAAAGAAAAAAAATGTAGTTTAGCTCCCCAAGTGTTCATAAAATTTTAAGAAAACATCCTATATAATTTTTAGAGCAAATTATATATAAAAAATTTAACTTTTTATTCTTAAAGATTAAATTTATCACACTATATCCTCAATGTATAAAAAATGTTACAATATAACCATTATGTTATCTTTTCGTTAGTATCGATGGGTTAATTTTTGACAGGAAAAATTATGGAAGTTAATAGAAATGTCACATTACAATACTTTTAATACATTAAAAGTGCAATGTAAAAAGTTTAATATTTGAGAGTGCGAAGTGAGAGTTGAAATTTTTTAGGGGGTAAAGTGCAAAAAGCACTAATTTCATCACGCTAAATTGAGATATAAAAAGTTGATATTATTTTATGACATAATGATGCATCAAGTAATAGAATCTTGATAAAAAAATATACCAGTTACCGTCATGATAATCATGGCATTGCCACATCATTAACTTATCAAATTAAATCAATTTTTTAAATCTCCATAGCATTCCTCCATCAGAGATCACTGCAACATTTCAAACTCGATTGTTAGCAAACACACATTAAAACAAAACNCCATTTGGATGATTTATGTTTTGTACATGTGGTACACACTTTCCAAGTTTAGCCTAGATAATGGTCTGATTGCTATTTTTTAAAAGGGTTATGTGAATAATTTTAAAGGTCAAGGAAGTATGCTGATTTTGACCAAAATCAAAGGTAGGTAGAAGGTAATTTGCCCATATATGCATTTACCCCTATTAGCGACAAGGTGAAGCCAAAGAAACTAACTCTTATTTTATTTTATGTTTTTGCTACTAACTAATTACTAAACAAATAATAAATCTACAAAACAACCACCTAAGCTGAATAGAAGTATATATCAACCACCCACCATACTACATAATTGAGATGTTAAAGTAGGGCCCAAAGATTTTAATGGCATGCTCAATACTCATGTAGTTTTAATAAATTTTTGGTCTAATGGTATTCCTTAACTTGTAAAAATTTTGTCTTCTTGAGATCAAGGGTTCAAGCCCCCTCCCCCTCCCAAAAAAAAAAAGAAAAAAAATGTAGTTTAGCTCCCCAAGTGTTCATAAAATTTTAAGAAAACATCCTATATAATTTTTAGAGCAAATTATATATAAAAAATTTAACTTTTTATTCTTAAAGATTAAATTTATCACACTATATCCTCAATGTATAAAAAATGTTACAATATAACCATTATGTTATCTTTTCGTTAGTATCGATGGGTTAATTTTTGACAGGAAAAATTATGGAAGTTAATAGAAATGTCACATTACAATACTTTTAATACATTAAAAGTGCAATGTAAAAAGTTTAATATTTGAGAGTGCGAAGTGAGAGTTGAAATTTTTTAGGGGGTAAAGTGCAAAAAGCACTAATTTCATCACGCTAAATTGAGATATAAAAAGTTGATATTATTTTATGACATAATGATGCATCAAGTAATAGAATCTTGATAAAAAAATATACCAGTTACCGTCATGATAATCATGGCATTGCCACATCATTAACTTATCAAATTAAATCAATTTTTTAAATCTCCATAGCATTCCTCCATCAGAGATCACTGCAACATTTCAAACTCGATTGTTAGCAAACACACATTAAAACAAAACAGAAACAAAATTGAACAAGAAAGGAATAGAAAGAAGCTGAAGTTATTGATAAGCAGCAGCTTTCTTACAATTGTACTCATATAATCAAAGCTCAAGTGAAAGACTCCACTTTAGGCCAAACAAACCACAAACGCAACACAATGCATCAAATTACTGAACTCAGCGTGGCTATCTTCATCCCAAAATCAATACCAAACCTAATGAACTTGGACAGACAAGAAACGAACAATAGGATTCTCACAAGAGATCTCCGAATACCATTCTGCACGCAGCACTATCACATACGAAACAGAAACTTAGGTGCCTTAAGGTCCACATCAAACAGACTTCAATGTGTTTGCCACATCAAGCACAAATCGATATCTAACATCAGCTTTCTCGAGACGCTCCATTGCAGTGTTCACGTAATCCATAGATATAATCTCTACATCTGCTTTAATGTTGTGCTTAGCTGCAAAATCTAGCATCTCTTGTGTCTCCTTCAATCCTCCAATGCAACTTCCGGCCACAACCTTTCGTCCTATCATTTCACATCCCATTTCAGATCACTTTTGTGAAAGAACGGTTGACATCAACTCATATTTTATGATAAAAGTAAGTAAAGTTCAATGCTTACCCATAATCAAAGGAAAAACTGGTAGCTCTAGTGGCTTCTCTGGTACACCAACCATGATAATCTTTCCGTGGGATTTCAGTAGATTAAGTAATGGCAGAATTGGATGAACTGCAGAGACAGTATCAATAATACCATCCAACGTGCCCATTGCAGCCTAATCATATTCATCACACCAACATTATTAGCATTAATAAATGCCATATCTCCATATGTTGATAACACCTAACAACTTTTTCTGATTAATAGTTACCTTCATCTGATTAGGATCATGACTAACCAAAAATGAGTCAGCACCAAGATTTTTGACAGCTTCGTCCTGCTTATTAGGAGATGTGCTAATTACTGTTACTTTAACTCCGAAAGCTTTTGCAAATTTCACAGCTACATGGCCCAACCCTCCGAGACCCACTACGCCAATATGCATACCAGGCTTGTCAAGTCCATAATATCTCAAGGGGCTGTAAGTTGTGATCCCAGCACAGAGGAGGGGAGCACCGGAATCAAGTGGCAAATTATCGGGCCAATGAACCACAAAGTGCTCATCAGCTACCATGTGATCAGAGTAGCCCCCATACGTGATGGTTCCATCAATGTAAGGGAAGCCATAGGTGAGTATCTGTCTTGGACAGTAATTTTCAAGATTGTTACCACAGCTCTCGCAATTTCGACATGATCCCACCAAGCATCCCACACCGACTTTGTTCCCAACTTTGAACTTCTGTACCTTGCTGCCGACTTCAGTGACTACACCCACAATCTCGTGCCTGCAGTGATCAATTCAGTTGATAAACATTATCATATAAACAAGCAAACCATATATTTGATCATGAAAAGTCCCAATGAAAAAATAATCAGGCCTGTTTATGAAAAATAGCCTAAATCCTCAAAAACATTTCAATATGAATTGGGCTATCAAATTATACATTCCCAACCAATAACCCCTTTAATATCAAAGTTACTATTCCTACCTCATTCTCTTTTGTCCCATTGGCAACTAAGTATTAACTATAACTGTCCCATTAAGATTTCTTTTTGAACTTGGCCCCATTAAGATTAAGATGCTAAATATACAACGCTCATGCCCGAATTTCTTGATCTCAAGGAACCATATAAATGTGAGTGATGCCAGCCGCAGCTGCAAAAGAAACTCCACTAGTACCAAAGTGAGAGACAAACATAGGGTTGCGAACCAGCAATTCTGCCTCTCATTCCATTCACATACCCTAATCAACTCAATCCCTAGAGAACAGGAAAGCTTTCCAGGGGAAGCTATTGTTATCAATGAATANTCTGGTACACCAACCATGATAATCTTTCCGTGGGATTTCAGTAGATTAAGTAATGGCAGAATTGGATGAACTGCAGAGACAGTATCAATAATACCATCCAACGTGCCCATTGCAGCCTAATCATATTCATCACACCAACATTATTAGCATTAATAAATGCCATATCTCCATATGTTGATAACACCTAACAACTTTTTCTGATTAATAGTTACCTTCATCTGATTAGGATCATGACTAACCAAAAATGAGTCAGCACCAAGATTTTTGACAGCTTCGTCCTGCTTATTAGGAGATGTGCTAATTACTGTTACTTTAACTCCGAAAGCTTTTGCAAATTTCACAGCTACATGGCCCAACCCTCCNCCACACCAACATTATTAGCATTAATAAATGCCATATCTCCATATGTTGATAACACCTAACAACTTTTTCTGATTAATAATTACCTTCATCTGATTAGGATCATGACTAACCAAAAATGAGTCAGCACCAAGATTTTTGACAGCTTCGTCCTGCTTATTAGGAGATGTGCTAATTACTGTTACTTTAACTCCGAAAGCTTTTGCAAATTTCACAGCTACATGGCCCAACCCTCCGAGACCCACTACGCCAATATGCATACCAGGCTTGTCAAGTCCATAATATCTCAAGGGGCTATAAGTTGTGATCCCAGCACAGAGGAGGGGAGCACCGGAATCAAGTGGCAAATTATCGGGCCAATGAACCACAAAGTGCTCATCAGCTACCATGTGATCAGAGTAGCCCCCGTACGTGATGGTTCCATCAATGTAAGGGAAGCCATAGGTGAGTATCTGTCTTGGACAGTAATTTTCAAGATTGTTACCACAGCTCTCGCAATTTCGACATGATCCCACCAAGCATCCCACACCGACTTTGTTCCCAACTTTGAACTTCTGTACCTTGCTGCCGACTTCAGTGACTACACCCACAATCTCATGCCTGCAGTGATCAATTCAGTTGATAAACATTATCATATAAACAAGCAAACCATATATTTGATCATGAAAAGTCCCAATGAAAAAATAATCAGGCCTGTTTATGAAAAATAGCCTAAATCCTCAAAAACATTTCAATATGAATTGGGCTATCAAATTATACATTCCCAACCAATAACCCCTTTAATATCAAAGTTACTATTCCTACCTCATTCTCTTTTGTCCCATTGGCAACTAAGTATTAACTATAACCGTCCCATTAAGATTTCTTTTTGAACTTGGCCCCATTAAGATTAAGATGCTAAATATACAACGCGCATGCCCGAATTTCTTGATCTCAAGGAACCATATAAATGTGAGTGATGCCAGCCGCAGCTGCAAAAGAAACTCCACTAGTACCAAAGTGAGAGACAAACATAGGGTTGCGAACCAGCAATTCTGCCTCTCATTCCATTCACATACCCTAATCAACTCAATCCCTAGAGAACAGGAAAGCTTTCCAGGGGAAGCTATTGTTATCAATGAATAAAGACTATGCTCAAAGGTCTCAAGTCATATTCCATCTAGACAAATCTAAATAAGAAGAGATATTGATTTTTCTGATACATGTAGCTTAAAGGAAAAACTAAATGTCCAGGAACAAAGCTCAAAAGGCCAAAAATTTCAGGAACTGGAGAAAAAAAATGATTGGAAGATCTAGCAAAAAATTAATATTCATCAGACTAGGGTGGAATATAAAATGACAAGTGAATACTAATTTCAATGTTACAGAGATAGTTGCTATGGAAATGGATATCTTGGTTAAAACATAGAATCCAAACATACCCTGGGACAACAGGATATGCTGTAACGCCCCATTGGTTCTTGACCATGTGAAGGTCCGAGTGACAGATCCCGCAATATAATACTTTGAACCTCACATCCTTATCACCAGTAGCCCTGCACGGTCAGATCAAACACATTCTCATCATCAACGAATCAATTAACAAGGTCACACAGATCTGTTTAAATTTGAGTTAGTACACACATAAACTCCGGAGGATCAAGGAAACTCTCAATGGGGATTGAGAAGTCAACTCTCACCCTGTACTGTACCACCACGAGCAATAAGCCAAACAAGGCTTTAACCCCAAGAAAAATGCTTTTCTGTCTGCAAGCCGGTGTCCTCATCGAGCTTCAAATCGAGATCAGTGGCAAAGCGCTCCACATGACCCCAATCCAAGCTCAAATGCATAGGAAATTGTTCCAAATCTATATATAAATAAACCCTATTTCGATTCATTCCTAAAACGACATAAGGTTGTTGATTATCAGTTCACATCTGATCTGGTTCCAACAAGTGTAACAACTCTAGCTAAAATCTTTGAAACTAAATACATTTTTACAAAACTAGATTTGTCGTAGAAAAACAAACCTTCTTGAAAAGTTGAAGGGAGAGAGAACACCAGATGGGTTGCTAGCAGCCCATCCAAAAGCCTTCACTGGGTGCGCCACTTCTGGTGATTTTGCCATCGAAAACTCCAACTGTTTTGTTCTCTTTATTTTGTTTTTTTCCTGAAAATGTGTGTGTCAAGAAATAGTATTGGTGACTGTGGATTTTGTGATGGTGGCATTATTATATAGGTGGGAGTAGGATATTAACTCCATTTATGATAATCATTCAATTTTTGACGGAATAATTATAATTTGACAGATTATTTAATTAAGAATTAAAATAATACGAATTAAATAAATTAACACAGTAAAAATTAAATTAATAAAAATATATATATTTTAAGAATTAAAAATATTATTAACCCTAAAAATAAATCATGCATCGAAAAGTTCTCTGGTATAACTGCCTGAGTTCAAAATCCTTGCATCTTGTCAACAAAGTTTCATCTATATAATAAAATAGTTTATAATTCAAATATCAAAAGATAAACAAAATAATTTTTGTTATTCGTGGTTGACATCGCTTTAAATTTTACTTTAAAATTAATCTAACGGTTAATATTAAAACTTTAAATTTAATATGAAAAATTAACTCCCTAAGGGTGTGTTTAAAATAATTTTTTTAAAAATGTTTCTATAAATTATTTTTTATAAGCATTTTAAAAAACAAATATTGTTTTGAACCGCTCCATCACTACTTTTACTACCACCACTATCGTCGTCACCACCACTGTCACTGCCACCTCCACTGCCATCGCCACCCCCAACCACCACCGTCGCCAGTGCCACCTCCACCTCCATCATCGCCTCCACCACCACCACCACCTCCGCCGCCACCATCACCACTGTCATCATCGCCGCTGCCATCACCACCATTGTCACTGCCACCACCACCCCCCACCTCCACCACTGTCACTATCGCCACCACCGTCGCCACCATCAAAGAAGCCACCACCACCACCGCCACCTCCACCTCCATCATTACTGTCGGCACCACCACCACCCTCACAACTATTGTTGTCTCCTACCAGCACCACTACTACCCAGTGCCCATTATCTCTTACCCCCACTACAAATTAATGTTTAAATTTTTTTATCTCTTTTCTATTTGTGATTTAATTTTGAATATAAATACAAATATATTTATTATTTACTATTTTTTATTACTTTATATTATTCGAGCATAGGCAATAACTAGTTATTTAATATAGTAAAAAAAAGTTTAATATTGAAGAAATTATTTTATAAAGTCTGCAGTGGATCACTAACGTGCATACCACGTTTTCATATCAAAACAAGATTCGAGAATTAATTTGAAGAGCAAACAACTTCGGATTCCAAAATTTATAATATTCAGCGCAAATAATTCCAAATAAATTCCCACCAACCCCGCATTCATGCATATACATATCTCTCTCTCTCTCTCTCTCATGCATTCATTTATGCAGACACAACGCACCAACAGTCAGACTGCCTCCGCAACTACCAAGCTCAACCAATCCTCATAACTTCTGGATAAGATAAGAGTTTAAAAGCTATAAAGTTTCTAATGAATTTGAGACATGTATGACTGGGTTTAATGAAGGGTAAATTACACTTTACTCTAAACTATTACCTTCATTTTATTTTACACTTTCAACTTTAAAATTTCATACATTGTATCATAAAGTATTATTTATATTTCATATTACTTCAATAATTAACGATTCTCAATTTTTTTTTACCATAAATGGGAATGTGAGTGGTTTGTATTGTCAATAAAACTATCTATTATTACATGTGTAGATCAAAAATCAAAAAAATATTTATTTATGACTTTACCCTTTTCAAATTTTTCTCCCATGTTTGATCTTCTTTTTCTCCTCAACAATCAATTGTTTGCAAAACACGTAAAATAAAATGGTAATAAGCACTCTACAGGAAACTCTTTGGGGTTTCTCCTCCCTAACCAACCGAGAGTCGCCACCCATGCGTTCAAGCCATAATTCCCCTTCGTCTTCCCTAGCCCTCCCTTACCGGCAGAATGCTCCCTCTTTCTCCAGCCGCAATCACCCTTCCTCCAATTAAAATTGCCACCTTCCTCGGTGAAAACTATTTACCTCCACAGTGTCCTTTTCTCAAAACCACCTCCTATTAAAGCCCCATCCCAATCGAGGTGATTCCCAACACCCACCACCATCTCCCATGGTGGTTCTCTTCCTCCATCGGATCAAAATCGCATCCAACCTAACCCGCATCGGCATCAATAAATGAGGGATAATAAAGGGAGAGACAGAACAAACACACACACACGCAACACCATTAGCAGTCGAAACCCACATCTACTTCCAGTGAGGATTTCTTTGATTGATTTAATCTAAAATTTTGCGTCTTAATTTGCTGTGTTTTTTTTTCTAGCAACCATGGCAGAGTCGAGTTTCCTGTGGTGGTGCATTTACAGTGGTGATGTTGGTTTGGATTTGTAGTGATGGGGCATCTTTTTTCCTTGTTATTGGTTGGTAGGTAGCTGGTGCTTGATTTGGTAGATGCAGGCAGTGGCGGTGATTTGGTGGCAGCTACGTTGGTGCCAATGGCGTTGGTGTTGTTGGTGGTCTACTCTTTACTGAAGGATTGGGAGCTGTCGGTCAGGTTGATTAAAGAAAGGAGAACGAAAATGGAGGTCAATAAATTCTAAGGGTACATAAGTAATTTTGTAAACTTCCGTTCAACTCATCTTTTAATTTAACGTTAATTATACCGGAATTCTCCAAAGGAATAGAGTTTATCTCATTTTAATCTCTAATATTTTAATTATTTTATTTTATTTCTTCAAGGATTTAATTTATTTTTATATGATCTTTCAAACAGACAACATACAAATTGCTAAAAAAATTTTATCATAAATTTATCACATAATACATAAATATGGATAAAAAATAACTTGAACAGCTCTATACCAAAATTTGTGTAGCACTTCACCAAAAATGTATAATATGGGTACCTCTTAACTAAAATTGGAATATTTTATGATCAAAACTGTGTAATTTTAGTAACTCTTAGACCAAATTTGGGATAAAAATTTGATCAAGTGTTATGAAAATTATTCTTTTTATCCATATTTATGTATTACGTTATAAGTTTATAATAAAAAATCGTTAATAATCTAAACATTATCTACTTGAGGGATCACATAAACATATATTCAATAATTCAACGATTAAAATAACGCGATTAAAATATTAGAGACTAAAATAGAATAAGATTCATACTTTGAGAATTTCTAGTGCAATTATTCCTTTAATTTAATGGGAGATACTATGCTTATCAAATCTTCATCTCAAATAATATGACACAGTTTTTCACTATCAAAAAAGTAGATCTCATTAATATTCAATGACGAAAATTATACCACAACATTTAGGATGAAAGATTTGGTAAACAAATTTGGTTAGCATAGTATTTTCCTAATTTAGTCCATCCGAACTTAAAGATGGCAAATTGCTGAAATTAAAAGCAGGGGGAATCCGATTGCTACATGACTCAAACTTCAAGGGGGGACAATTTGTAATTAACCATGCTTTTTAAAACGTAAAAATATAACTTAATCACCTTCCCACCACATGCAGTTCCCCAAGGCCACCACACTAGACCTGAAAAATATTCTATAGTTTACTAGCCAAGCCATGGTTTTCTTCAGGCGTTCCAGATGATTTATATGATTTGATAGGCCAAAGTCTACAAGTTTGGTATTGAAATTAGTATCCAGCAAAATGTTGTTTGATTTGGTTCCCTGGTGAGCCAGCAGCTGCTCCTAATCTATCTATAGGACAGATCAGCTAGTAGGTGGACTGGGCCCTAAGGGCAGAGTTGCCATGGGTGGCCACTGTTCGAAAGGTGAATTGGTTAGGTATAGTTAAAAGATGTTAAACGAGCCAAGCGGGCTTGCAAGTAGTTTGGGTCTGACTCAATTTTAATTTAGTTTGAGTTGATCCATATTATAAAATAATTCGATTCAAAACAAATATTTAAAATTGTTTAATATTCGAATTAAGTGATGTCAAGCCTGAACTATTCGCGAGTCGATTATTTTTTTTCTACTTGTACAAAAATACATTATGCATTTATTACAAATTTAAAGATTACATGAGTAAAATAAGCAAAGAAAGAAATTTATGCCATGCCTTCGTCTATCCATCATGCTAGACTCGTCACCATCTCTCTCTCTCTCTCCTTTGAATAATATAAGTCGAGTTGTTGACTCTTTTTTTCTCTTTCAATCTCCTTCAGTGTCAGAGACACTCTATTTCTCCCCCATTACTCTTTTTATGGTTTTAATATCCTTCAACTCTAAATCATCTCGATCTCCCTCTTTTTTTTTTAATTAAATTAATAGTTTTTTTTTTTTTTGAGGAGACGAGGAAGGGGAAGGAGAAGGGGGAGGAGGACTGAAACCCTTGACCTCAAGAAGACAAAATCTTTATAAGCCAAAGAATACAATTGAACCAAAGACCCATTAATATCTCGATCTTTCTCTCTCTCCTTACCACCACGATGTTCCCTAATCCAAATGATANAACGCGATTAAAGTATTAGAGACTAAGATAGAATAAGATTCATACTTTGAGAATTTCTAGTACAATTATTCCTTTAATTTAATGGGAGATACTATGCTTATCAAATCTTCATCTCAAATNCCTCATCTATAATTATTGATTTTTGCAATCAGCTATCAGTGTATACACACATTTGTATATATTAAGTTTATATGTTTTTATTGTGATTTAGAAGTACTTGTGCTAGTTTGTATTAAAATTTAGATTTGTGTATTTTTGTGAAATTTTTTGATTGGTTATTTAAAATTTGTGGATTTGATTTTTTTTTTTGTTGAATAACTCATTTTTTGTCTAGATCAACTCGAATTCAACTTGAGCCAAGTTTGAACAATATTTAGAGTTCGATAGGCAAGTCAGACTCGAGCTTGAGCAATCGTTGAATAACACGAGCCGAGCCTGAGCATAGATAGCCAAGTTTGGAAGACTTAGCTCGATTAATATCCCTAGGGATATTGGATGATTGTAGTGGCCCACCAGATGATATGTATAAGGATGGTAATTTTTGACCCGACATATAAATACGACTTGAAATCAATATAAAATTAGCGA